ATATATATATATATATATATATAGAGCAGTACCAGTATATATGTATATAGAAAGAACAAAGAGAGAGTGAAATTTCTACCTTGGCCCCTCCTAAGTATAATTTCTAATTCCACCCTTGATTCTGCCCTATGCGAAGGTATAGATGGAGTGCGGTAACTCTTCAATTCAATTCAGGTGCTCAGAAGTACTAAATGACCATATACTTCCAACATATCGTTGCATTCCTGAAGTTTTATGCATCAACAATTAACTAACATCACCAACCTTTCTCGGCACTGCTTGCCTATTCGACCTGGTAAGAACTTTGCAATAGCAGACCATTTCTTACAACCATACTTCTCAACTAATCCAATTATGCAATCATCCTCCTGAAGGTTCAAAGAAGAAACAGAGAGCGATCAAATATCAATGGATAGATTATATTAATTGTCACTCCCAACAACAAAAGCATGAAAGAAGATTGATGTGTACCTCCTTTGTCCAAGGTCCTTTGACGAGTTCAGGATTAAGAACCTTCTGCCAACGATGCAAGCACTGGACATCAGTCCGTCCAGGAATATATTCAGCTGTACAAGAAAATAACATTATCATATCAGCAGAGTCAAGAAAGAAAAGCATCATCTTGCTGCTTTATCGAAGTTTCACCAATTCTAAAAAAACTACAGAAACATGGAGGAAAAATTCATGGCAATAAAGTCATTCAGCATGCACATTCTCGCACTAAAAAATGTCATTCACCATTGCATGTTCCTGTGGGCCAACTGCAAGGAGCCATCTAGTTTGCTACAAAAGCCCATTGTCAACTGTGCAAATAGTAACCATCATATATCAACAGATTGCAACCAACAAATAAAATACCTTCTTCAAATACAAAAGCAAATTCAATACATTATCATCAAGAAGCCTAAACATGAATTCAAAATTGAAATAATCCTGTAAAACTCAACATAATCAAATACCACTTTAGTCTACAATTAAGAAACAAGCAAACCCACAAATAAAATACCTTCTTCATCCGAGTCTTGACCTCGGATTTCCGAGCTTTGTTGTAGACACGCCTCTTCTCTGCTTGACGAGCTCTCTTCGCAGCCGAATCGGCCTTCTTATTCGGAGCATCCTCGCAAATAATCGAGTGACGAGTCGGCCTCACAATAGGGCTCATCGAAATCAAACCTGAAAATATTACCAAAAAACAATTTTTTAAAACTATTTAAGAACAAGGGTTTTGTGATTTGAGCTGAGAAAAGGCAAATACAGAGAAATGGGTTTTTGAGTAGTACCTGTGGAGAAGACATTGTGACAAGTGGTGGAAGAGAAGCTTAGAGACCTGAGTGATGAAGTGGGTTTGGGGTGAGTAGAAGAATAAGGGTAATTGAGGGATAGGGTAATTGACGAAGCTGCTCCGACGCCGCTCGCCGTCGATCGCGATAGAGAGAGAGAGAGAGGGGGTGGGTAAGTAAAGATTGGGGATTTTTGGGTTTGAGATTAGGGATTTTTTTGGCGGGAATGGGAAAAAGAGGAGAGGGGGGGTAGGGAGCGGGAATGGAAAAAAAAAAGAGGAGGAATAAAAAAAAAAATTTTTTTTTTAGTCACAAATGAAATTTAAATAATAAAATAATGTCGTTTATTTTTTTTTAATTTTTTTTTTGCTGCGGGGGTTGACATCATCAAAAAATTTTATTTTTTGTTAAAATATATATTTTTTTGTAGTTAATAAATTTTGTTAAAAAAATTCCTTTTTTTTTTAGTTACTAAGATTGCAAATTTATTTGTTTCATTTTTATTTTAATGAAAAAAAATATTATTATTTTTTATTTGGTAGAAGTAGGGGTAATATTTTAATGAAAAATATTTTTCACTAAAATAAAAGTTAATTTTCTGTAGTCAATGAAAAATATTTTTCTGAGGCCTATTTTTTTTGGTTACTAAAAATCATGAACTAATTTTTTGTGGTAAAGGAAAGGGAGCGGCAGTAGTAGTGAAGATGGTGGATAAGAGATGATGGTGGTGGTGATGGTGATGGCGAAAGAGATTAGTGGTGAAGTTGTGGTAGTGGTAGTGTAAATGGAGTGGCAGGGGTAAAAGAGAGGTAATGGTGGTAGTGGTGGTAGTGGAGTGGTGGTGATGATAGTAGTAATAGTAGTTGTAAAGGTGAAGTGGCGATAGTGGAAGTAGTGGTGGGGGTGGAATGACGTTTGTAGTAGTGGTGAAGGTGGTAGTAGAGATGGATGGTGAGAGAGAGAAATGAGTGAGAGACAGTTAGAGGAGAGAGAGAGAGAGTGATGAGCGAGAGAGAGACAAAGTGGTCGCTAAAAGTGCATTTTCTTGTAGTGGATCGATAAATCAAAAGGAAGCTCAGTAAATAGAGAGGATGAGAGTGAGAGAGTGAGCAACGCAAACACAGTGGGAGAGAGAGAGAGAGAAAGAAAGAGACAGAGAGTGAGAGTGAGAGACAGAAAAGAGACATAGAGAGAAGAGAGATAGACGAGAGAGACAGAGAGACAGAGAGAAGAGAAATGAGCGAGAGAGACATAAAGAGAAGAGAGATGAACGAGAGAGACAGAAAGAAAGATAGAGAGAAGAGAGATGAACGAGAGAGACAGAGAGAGATGAGAGATGAGCGAGAGAGATAAAGAGAAGAGAGATGAGCGAAAGAGACAGAGAGAGAAAAGAGATGAGAGAAGAGATAGATGAGTGAGAGAGAGAGACAGATAGACAGACAGACAGAAAGAGAAGAGTGATGAGTGAGAGAGAGAAAGAGAAGAGAGAAAGAAAGATGAAAAAATGAATGAAAAGATATAGACAAAGAGAGAGAGAGAGAGCGAAAAGAGATAGACGAGAGAGAGACAGAGAGAGATGAGCGAGAGACAGAGAGAGATGAGCGAGAGAGATAAAGAGAAGACAGACAGAGAGAGAAGAGAGATGAGAAATGAGAGATGAGAGAGATAAAGAGAAGAAAGATGGACGAGAGACACAAAGAGAGAGAGAGACAGAGACAGACAGAGAAGAGTGATGAGTGATAAGTGATGAGTAAGAGAGAGAAAGAAAGAGACAGACAGACAAAGAAGAGTGATGAGTGAGAAAGAGAGAGACAGACAGACAGAGAAGAGTTATGAGTGAGAGAGAGAAAGAGAAGAGAGACAGAGACATCTACAGCGACTAAAATTTGCTTAAAATATTTTAAAAAGTTGAAAAAATTAAGAAAAATTTTAAAATTTGAAATAATATCAATAAGTCTTACAAATCAGATTTATTTATTCATAAGTCATGAGTGAATTTTTTTTACACACTTAGCCCTCGTTTTGATAATGAAATTTTTTTAAAACTTTTTAAATATATGTTTTGTGTTTGTGAAATGATTATTTCATTAGTACTAGTAATAATATTGAAAAATTTATTAAAATGATAAATAATTGGGATATTTTGTCTTTTATTTGTGAATTTTGATTTATTATTAATTTATTAGTGTTATTGAGATATGATGATGTAAAAAGTATAAATAGTTTAATTTTACTTTTTAAAAATAATAAATTTATTATTAAAAATTAAATTCATCAGACTAACCTGTAACTATACCTTTAAATTTTTGCAATGTAAAACTATCGACAAACAGACAATAACAAGTTGCCCATTTTAGAATTTAATTTCTTTTTATAATACAATTATTACATTATTACATTTTAAAAATTAAATTCATCAGACTGACCTGTAACTATGCCTTTAAATTTTTGCAATGTAAAACTATCGACAAACAGCCAATAACAAGTTGCCCATTTTAGCATACCTTTCGCGTGAGGGCCCAATTATTAAAAGATGTGTTTTGAGATAATAAAAAATAAAATAAGATATTAATATTTTTGGATGGTGGGTGTACAACCTCTTCATAAAAATAAAAATAAAAATAAAAACAAAATAAAATAAAATAAAATAAAACAACTATTTTGTTTAGTGAAATTTTCAAGTGGAGACTAATGGTATTGTTGTTAATAAAATAAAATACTATTTTTTTAATTTTTTTATTTTCATTCGGCTACCAAACAATTTAGTAGCCAAAAGTAGGTCTACAGCGACTAAAATTTGCTTAAAATATTTTAAAAAGTTGAAAAAATTAATTATTAAAAAATTAAGAAAAATTTTAAAATCTGAAATAATATCAATAAGTCTTACAAATCAGATTTATTTACTCATAAGTCATGAGTGAATTTTTTTTATACACTTAGCCCTCGCAAAAAGTGTGAATTTTTTTTACACACTTAGCCCTCGCGAAAGAGATTAGTGGTGAAGTTGTGGTAGTGGTAGTGTAAATGGAGTGGCAGGGGTGAAAGAGAGGTAATGGTAGTAGTATATTCATTACATTTTAATAATATTAATTTTTCATTACAACCCTACAGAAATTACCATTACCTAAAGGAACACTTTACCATTATTAAACAATCGGCTACCAAAATATTTAGTAGTCAAAAGTAGGCCTTTGGCGACTAAAAACTAATTTAGTTAGTGAATCCCCCGTTTTTGGCGACCAAAATTTTGGTCGCCAAAGGTATTTTATAATTTTTTTATTTTCATTCGGCTACCAAAATATTTAGTAGCCAAAAGTAGGCCTTTGGCGACTAAAAAGTAATTTAGTCAGTGAATCCCCCGTTTTTGGCGACCAAAATTTTGGTCGCCAAAGGTATTTTATAATTTTTTTATTTTCATTCAGCTACCAAAATATTTAGTAGCCAAAAGTAGGCCTTTGGCGACTAAAAAGTAATTTAGTCGGTGAATCTCCCGTTTTTGGCGACCAAAATTTTGGTCGCCAAAGGTATTTTATAATTTTTTTATTTTCATTCGGCTACCAAACTATTTAGTAGCCAAAAGTAGGTATACAGCGACTAAAAGAAATTTTGTTGCCGAAACTTGACATTTGGCGACCAAAAGTTTGATCGGGAAAGATTAAAAATTAATTTTTTAATTTTCATTCGGCTACCAAACAATTTAGTAGCTAAAGGTACCTTTACGGCTACTAAATTTTTATTTAGTCGCCAATTGTCATATGTTTAGCTACTAAAAATTGTTTTAGTCACCAATTGTAATATCTTTAGCTACTAAATTTTTTTTAGTAGCCAATAATCAACATTCCCCTACTAAAAAAAAAAATTAGTAGCTAAAAAGTTGACTTTTGCCGACTAATATTATTTTTGGTAGCCAATTCCGTGACTTTTGACGACTAAATTAGTTTTGGTAGCTAAAAGTGGTCGGTAAAAATGCTTTTTCTTGTAGTGAGTCTTGCAACCTGCGGGTTATTCATTAATAAATGAGCATTTTTTTTGAATCACATGGATTATACCGTGTAGTTTTTTTTACATTTTGTCTTTTTTCTTTCCATTGGTGAGAATTCAAAGATGACATCTTTTAACCTTTTCATTGGTAGGAATTCTATTTCTAACTCCAACTCTCTCATACAAGACCCATGCTTCAGTTTGTGAAGTGACATCGTATCTGTTTTTGTATAAGAACTTCGGTCTTTTTCAACTTTAATGTTCACCAGAAGTTTTATATTTTATCTTTAAAAAGCAATGAAAATGAAAATTGAAAGTTTTAATTTCTAAGTGCTTCGTAATCTGACAGATGATTATTCCGACAAGCTATTGAAGGAATATATCTTAACCATGTTGGTTCTCATTAGCGAATTGTGACTTTGTGAAGTATTGTCTTTTGGTTTAGTGGAACATTTAACTTTATGCCAATACATTCATGCCACATGACACATGGAGTGATAGAAAAATCTTTCTTCCACATAGGATCACAAAGAAAAGCCCAAAATCACAGAGAAGGAGCAAACCCAGTAGTGTCAAAACAGAGAAGCATTTATCAAAACAGATAAACCCAATAATCAGAAGAAGGTTGGAGTGTAATGGGCCCAAAATCATAATCAAGATTGCTGAAATCAAACCTATTGTCGAACTCTCTTTCGCCCTGCAGAAACAACAACTTCAAAAGGAAGAGGTGCTAAAGATAACCAGTAATCATGCTTTGACACTGCAATGTCTGCACAAATGCCTGAAGAAAAAGGACCAGATAAACTGTTAGAAATATTCACTCAATCAAGCTATACCGAATAAAGACCAAGCAGGAATCAACATGACCTGGTTAAATGTACATGGATAACTTGGAACACCGAAGTGTGAACATCTTTGAAACCCCAAGTATCATAAGCCATGATTCTTTTCATTAATAGGCGGTGGGATTGGATTAACAATCCGGTATCACATGGGACTATGAATTGCTCAAAGGTGAATAGCAATCCCATGCAATTGGAGGGTAAAATACCATTTTACCCCCACTTCACAAAAATAACAAAGCCACCTTTCATATATTGAATAATTTTATAGAAATTCAAATATTTAATCTCTTACAAAATTATCTTTACCTTTTTTCTTTTTTCTTTTTTTAAATCGAATCCCTCGAAGGGGAATAGCAATCCCATGGAATTGGAGGACAACATACCATTTTAGCCCCACTTCACAAAAATAACAAAGCTACCTTTCATATATTTAGTAATTTTACATAAATTCAGATATTTTAATCTCTTACACAATTATCTTTACTATTTTTCTTTTTTTTTGTTCAATCGATAAAAGTACAACTACAAATATGAAAAATAATACAGCAGATCAGACAAACCACGGGTCAAACAATAGCTAGAAAGCCAACCACTAGCTCAACGATAACTACCAAGCCAAGCCCAAACCCAACAACCATCACTAAATCACTAAGGAGTGTTTTGGGAAGTTAGTAAAAAGCTGATTTTTTGACTTTTTACAAAGTTTTTTAGCTTTTTGAAAAGTGATTTGGGAAGTTGGTAAAAAGCTAACTTTTTGCTTTTTAGTTTAATATTTATTTATGGTGTCAAATCAAATTAAAATGACCAAAATACCCTTGCCAAACTTCGAAATTCTACATAATTTGTTGACCTAGAGGGTATTTACGTAATTAGCCAGTCTAGCTTTTTTATCACTTGCCAAATGCAACAATTGCCCAAAAAGCTGAGCCAGCTTTTTTCTGAACCAACAAAAACGTTTTAGTTTTTGTTTCTTCTCAAAACGGCACTAAATACGTACAACCCATTTTAGAAATAGAAAATACTTTTTTTTTCAATTTTCCCTTTCTTTTTTTTTTTTTTTTTTTTGTGAGTTTCTTAAAAATGGATTTAAAAAGGAAGGCCATTTTGGGGAGAACCGAAAGGAAGTTCAGCTTTCATTTCCCAAACCGTTAAAAAACAAAAATCATCATTTTGTCCCTTTTTTTTTTTATAATTACTTTGGCATTGGGGTGTCTTGAGAAGTTGGTTAAAAATTAATATTTTGATATTTTTGATATTTTTGTCTTTTTATAAATAAAAAATGTAAGAGGTGATATGACCAAAAAGCTTTCCAAATGAGAGTTGAAACCACAATCACAAAATTGGTATTAAACAACCACTAGCTCACTTGTTACACAATTATATTTCTTATCCAATTTAATACAAATGGGAATAAAGTTCAAAGGTAAAATGTACATGGATACTTTGAACAAAAGAAGAGCAGTTTGTAATTAATTACCCAGAGAGAGTCCAAAAACTTTGAAGCATTAGGGCTATTTTGGAAAGTGGGTTATAATCCACTTCTCAGATTATAACTCACTTCCTCTCTCACAAAAAAGCTGCTCATAAGTAACTTTTCACCAAAAAACTGATTAGTATGGCATGTTTGAGAGACAAGATGGTGATTTGGGAACCTCAAAAAAAGCACCGTTTTGTGCAGCTCAAAAACGCAGCATGCAGCAGCTGGAAACGCAGGCGGCTCATTTGGGAAGATCATAAAACGCATGTTGTAAAATTACAAGACTACCCTCCATGTTTACAACTTGAGGGTAAATTTCTAGGGGTGAGCATGGTCCGGATTGGACCGGATTGGAATAAAACCAGGACCAATCCGTTTTCTACGGTTTCTAAAATATTGGAACCAATCCAATCCGTTTAAATCATGGAACCAATCCGAACCAATCCATTTAAATACGGATTGGATCGGTTTAGGACCACGGATTCACATAATTAAATAACAAAAATATACTTATAACACTTTAATTTTATAAAAATATAAATATAGCGCTATATTAGTTCCACAATAGCAACATATTTTTCTATAATAGCGACATACTGTTCTAAAATTTAAACAACCATAAGAAAATTGGTTTCACTATAAGTATTTAAACCATTACAAATTAAAACTAAAAACCAACAAACAAGAGTAATAAAAGAAGATATTATACGGTTTTAGGTTTGAGTTTAGATTTTATATAGAATTAAGAGAAGATACTATAGGGGAGGATGTATAATAAAAATATAGACTATTTGTATACGGTTCGGATCGGTTCCAATCCGGAACCGTGAGATTCAATCCGGAACCAATCCGTAGACTACGGATTTTTAATTCTTCAATCCGGAACCGAACCGCGGATTCAAAAAATCAATCCAAACCTATCGGATTGGACTGGACTGGATCGGATTACGGATTTCACGGATTGCTTGCTCAGCCCTATAAATTTCTTAATTTGGATGAGAGTATTTTAGTCATTTTATTAAAATGTAACATCATAAACAAATATTAACTAAAAAAGTCGACGTCCAATCACCTTTCAAAAAAGCTGAAAAATTGATAAAAAATTAAAAGTCAATTTTTTACCAACTTCTCAAAACACTCAAAAAAAAAAAAAAAAAAGAAGACATAAAACAGAAAAAAAGGCTAATGCATTCATGAATCAAACATGTAAACTATAAAATTGTTCAACAAAAAGCCCTAATTTCTTTTTGGGGGTATCAAGTGTTTCACTCTCTGACAACGAACTATGGAGATCCATATGAAGCATCTTCAAATGGATTTTGAGAATGGAAATCGAAGAAATATATCCACAATCAATTGGGTTTTTTTTTTCTTTTATTTTAAAGTATCAGAACAGTACACAAAGCAAGAAAAACTAGTGTGTGTCTCTGGGCCGAGATAGAGAGAGAGGGAGAGTACGAACCTATTATGCCGTCGTCTCTTCTCTTGATTTGATGTGGTGGAATGGTCGGGTAGTGGTTTTCGCAGGGGAGGCAGAGTACTGATTTGGATGGGATTCAGAGAAGAGGAGACAGGATAAGAATGAGACCTTTATGCTGTTGGGGAATTATGTGGAAAAACAAATTATAAATATATTGGGATGGAAAATGATATAGAGATCAACAATAATTCATCACTTTAATTTGGGAGTTTTAATTAAAAAGAAAAAAAAATAAAAAAATAAGGTTAAAACCTCACATCAATAAATGACATCTACCCCTAGAGTTCTTTTAGGCTTCGTTTGGGAAGCCATGGTTTGGGCTTTTTTGGTTATTTTAACCACAAAAAACAAAATAGGCTATTTTAGTCATAACAAACAAAACATCACATCTAACCCATAATCATTACATTCTTCTCTCACAAAAAAACTTAAAAAAGCCAAAAAGTCAAAAAGTTAAAAAGCCAACCCACTTCCCAAACGAAGGCTTAGAGCTCATAATTTAAAGCCGTCAAACATTTTTATATAGAGATTAGCATTGTCTTATTAGGATTGTAAGTGTCTCTGTAATAGAGATGTAAATGAAAGATTGTGAAAGTATAAATGTCATTTGTGGCACCGTTTGGGACGATGATTTGTGGCTATTTTAGTCACAAAAGACAAAATAGATTATTTTAGCCACAACAAACAAAACATCACATCCAACCCATAATCATTACACTCTTCTCTAAAAAAAAAAGTCAAAAAAGCCAAAAAGTCAAAAAGTCATTCCCAAACCAAGTTTTTTAGCCTAGGCTAAAATAGCCAAAAAGTCAAAAAGTTAACCCACTTTCCAAACGAAGCCTTTGGTGCGTTTGTTAGAACAGATTGGATAAGAAGGATTGTAATCCACTGGACTATTAGTCTTGGGATACATTGTCTTCGGACTATTTAGTTGGACTGAATTTGTAGCTTATATTTGTTTAGTCATGTGATTAAATATCTGAATTGAACTATTTTATTGAATCTAATATTTGATTGAATGAATTGGATAAGAATAAATGTTAAAAGATTATTTTACCTTTATAATTTATATTTTTAATTTAACAACACTAAAAGTTTTTAATTTATAAGGCCATAATTTATAATTTATTATTTTTAATTAAATTAAATTTATAATTATATTTTTTATTTAATATATAATTTTAAATTTGTAATTTGTAATTTATAATTTATAATTTATAAATGTTTAAAAGATTATGAAAAAATGTAATAACAACATTAAAAAAATTTAGTTTATAAATACTTTTAATTTTAATTTTTTATCATTTAATTTAACAACACTAAAAAAAATTAATTTTTAAGGCCATAATTTTTAATTAAATTTAATTTGTAAAAGATTATTTTATCCTTTTTCAATTGTTTACTAAGTAAGAGCATCTCTATCAAATCCGTTATAATAGCTTTTTGCTATTATAAAGGATGATTCTTCAAAAATCCTTCCCATCAAATCCCTTATATAACTTTTTAAATTTAGGATTGCTACAGTCACTCCCTATTTGTAGGGAGTCACTGTAACTCCCTTATATCTGACCATGGTTGTCCACCCAGATGTTCCAGATGAAATAATCTGAGCAAAAATTATTTCAGCAGTTGTCCACCCGGACGTCCAGCCAGTCGACCTTCGGACGTCCGGTTCCTGTTTCTACTTCTGCTGCTTTCTTCTTAGCAACAAATGAAGTTGCCTTTTAGCCTCCATTAACTTTATTTTATATTGTTTAATTATTTTATTATTAAAAAATATTAAATTAAAAAATAATTAAAAAGATTATTTTAATAGAATAAAGAAAGAATAGGGAGTTTGTTGGAAAAGGTAGATGAAAAAGTGATTCCTAAAATAGGGAATAAATTTTTTAATAATATTTTAAGGTAAAATTTAGGTAAGCTAATAGGGATGCTCTAATATCATGAAGGTAAAATGGGCATTTCACACATTAGTCTCATTGGATATCAATGGCCCTTTTAAGAACATAGGGGGTGCACAAATGGTGGCACAATTGGAGGCAGAATTTACGGATGAGGAAATCAAGAATGTGATTAAGTGCTGTGATGGTAATAAGGCCCCTGGGCCTGATGGGTTTAATATGTCATTCTTTAAGAAATGTTGGAAAATTGTGAGGATTGATGTGTTACAGTTTATGAGGGATTTCCATCAGAATGCAAGGTTTGTTAGCGGGCTTAATAGCTCTTTTATAGCTCTGATCCTCAAAGTTTTAAGCCCTTCTTGCTTGAATGATTATAGGCCTATCAGTTTGATTGGTTCCCTATATAAAATTGTAGCTAAAGTGCTAGCTAACAGAATGAAACAGGTGATGCCTAAGATTATTGGTAAGGCTCAGTCAGCTTTTTTGGGGGGTAGGAATATACTAGATGGCATTCTGATAGCCAATGAAATAGTGGATGGATGGAAAAGATCTAATAGAAAAGGTTTGGTGCTTAAATTGGACTTTGAAAAGGCCTACGATTCTATTAATTGGGAGTTTTTATTTGATATGTTATCAAAATTTGGCTTTGGAACTAGATGGGTAAAATGGATGAAAACTTGTGTTTCCTCTACTATGGTCTCTGTTTTGGTGAATGGGTCACCAACTTCTGAGTTTATCCACAAAGAGGCCTTAGACAAGGTGATCCATTGTCACCATTCATATTCAATATTGTAGCAGAAGGCCTCAATATTTTGCTGAGCAAAGCTAGAGAGTTGGGTCTAATTCAAGGGGTCGGGGTGGGTTCAAATGAGTTAAGAGTCACGCACTTGCAATTTGCAAATGATACAATTTTGTTTTGTAATGCGAATATGGCGGAAGTGAGCAACATTAAAAAAATTCTTCGATGCTTTGAGATTACATCAGGTCTGAAAATTAATTATCACAAGAGCGTCATCTGTGGGGTTGGGGTAGATGAGGGTTTCCTGCAGGAGTGTGCTTCTTGTCTAAATTGTCTTCATCAAAAGTTGTCTTTCAAATACTGGGCTTCTTTTAGGGGCTAATCCCAGTAGGAGGAGTACTTGGAAACTTGTTCTTGATAAATTTAAGCAAAAATTGTCTACATTGAAGCGATGATTACTATCTTTTGCTGGTCGTTTGACTCTAATCAAATCTGTAATGTCTAATCTGTCCACTTATTATCTCTCACTGTTCAAAATCCCTACTAGAGTGGCAAAAGAAATTAACAGAATGCAATCCGCATTTCTGTCGGGTGGATCCGATCTTAGAAGAAAAGTACATATGGTCCAGTGGGAGGTGGTTACTAAGAATAATAAACTAGATGGGTTAGGTTTGAGAATGATTAAAAGTTTCAACCTTTGTCTTTTGTTGAAATGGTGGTGGAGATTTGGTGTTAAGAACAACTCACTGTGGAAGGAAGTGATTTGTGCAAAGTATGTGTCATTAGATGAGAGATGGTTACCACAATCAATAGGCAGAGAGTCCAAGATATGGTTGGATATAATTCAGGTTGTTCTGTCCAATCCAGAGCTGCATTATTTTTATCTCAATAATTTTCAGATTGTTCTGGGAGATGGGAGGAGAGTTTGGTTCTAGAGGGACAAGTGGGTGGATAATGTTTTCTTAATGGATGAATTCCCAAGGCTTTTTTCTTTATCTAATGATAAAAATGGTGTGGTTAGTGTGTTCTTTGAAAGAATGGAGGAGAATGGTGGCTAGAACATGGGTTTTAGAAGACCTTTGCGGGTCTGGGAGGAGGAAGAAGCTAACAGACTTTTTAATTTGCTGTTCAATGCACCATCACTATGTCCTACCAGATCTAATAAGCTCAAGTGGGGTGCAGATCCAGCTGCTTTTTTCACTGTTTATCAATTTTATAATTGGATTGAATCTCATCTAGGACCTATTATACCAGTGGCTGCCTCAATTTGGAATAACTTTGCCCCTCCCAAAGTGCAATCCTTTGGGTGGCTGGCTTGGCTGGGAAAAATTAAAACTTCTAATTTCCTCCATAGAATTGGTATACTGCTAGGGAATGCAAATCTTGATTGTGTTTTCTGTCATAATGAGGTTGAAATTGTGGAACATCTTCTCCTTTACTGCCCTTTTGTTTCGTTGCTTTGGTCCAACATTGTTAGATGGTGGGGTATGCAGTGGGTGTTACCAGGTTCAGTGACTGGATTGTTGCGTTGGTGGTCTAGTTGTAGGATGAAGAAGTTGGAGAAGAAAATTTGGATGGTTCTACCTTTGGAAGCACTGAAATGATTGCAGTGGGTGGTCTAGTTGTAGTTATATGGAAGCACTGAAACGATTGCGTCTTTAATGGATCTCAACCAAACCTGGATGAGTTGTGTGAGCTAGTGAAGGTTCGAGTAGCTAAGTGGTTCAAAGCTTCACTAGTTCAGATGAAGTTCTCTATCAATGACTTGGTCCTTAATCTGCCACAGGTGATATTCTGTATCAGAAATAGAGGATGAAGGATCTGGATCAAGTTTGGTGGCATTTTTTACTCTACTGCTATTACTCTACTACTAGTACTCTTCTTTCCCATATGGCTTTTTAGTGCATCAATTCATAAATGGTGTGATGGCGCTGGTTGGCTGATTGGCTCATTATTTTGTTCTCTCATTAATTATGGTATTTTTTGGGTTTTAGAGGTCTGCTCAGGTGCTCATGCTATCTTTTGTTGGCTGTGTGATGAATTGCTGGTGTCTGCTCTGGTCTCATTTCTGCTAATGTCTGATTGGTTGTTGTTTGGTCTGTGGTTCGGATTCTGTTACACTGCTGGTGTTTGTTTTGGCTAAGATTTGAATTGGTTGTTGGTCTGTATGTCTGCTGCTGGTTGCTGTGGTGTTCATGCTGCCTTTTGTTGGCTGTGTGATGATGATGTGTGGCTTTTGTGGTGCTCATGTTGTCTTTTTTTTGGGGATTTTATTGGCTTATGTAAATTTATCAAGCATAGCTCATATGAGTGCAGGTCTGATGTTGTATGTTGCTAATGTATGATGCTGTGTGGCCTTCTATGCTGTTGCGTGGCCTTCTGATTGAATTGTTGTTGATCTGCTGGTGGACTAGCAAGGGAGAATGATGAATGTTGATGTGTGGTGCAGGGGTAGGGGTGTAAGAAGATTTGTTGGTGTCAAATTTGATGTATTATTGATTGATATATTTTGTTTGATATATATTACAAATGGTGAGTGGCTCATTATATAGGAGAGTGTGAGTGTAGTAGGTGAGGAGTAGGTGAGGAGTAGGTGAGGAGTAGGTGGTGGTAGGTGATGGTATATTGGTGGTAGGTGATGGTAAATTCTAACAGTTGGTAGTGCAGCTCATATGAGTGCAGCTCTGATCTATGGTGTTGTGTGGCCTGTTGATGATGGTTGCTGGTTGCATTGCTGTTGGTCTGTTGGATTGTGATCTACCTGCTGATGTTGGTTGTTCTGCTGCTATGGATTGTCTATTTGTTTTGCTCTGGCCTGCTGCAGCTGTTTTTCTTTATTGTTTGTCTTGTCTTTTTATATGTTTGTTAGTTTGTTAGTTTTGGTTATCTTCTTCTTGGGTGAGGTTGGCTTCGGTGTTTATGGTTGGTTACTCACCAACTCTTGATGGTGTGCTAGCATATGATTGGACGGCCTTATCAGTGCCAACCTAGTTGGGATTGATTTGGTTCGCTATGATACTTTTTGCACTCATCCTTCTCTTTTCTTTTATTGATGTAATTGTCTTCTAATTTATCAATAAAGTTCCTTTTTCTTTGCTGATCAAAAAAAAAAAAAAAATCCCTTAGAAATAATCACAACCCCACACCCAGGATTAATTTAGTCCCTTATATGAGGGATATGGAATCTGGCCGGACTCCATGTCACTCCATGTTCGGCAGACTAAAGTTACACTAAACAATGGACATCTCCCTCCAAGGAATTCAAGTCCAAACAATGTTTAGTCCCCTCCCCCCTAATCCCTCCAAACAAACACCCCCCATGTGTTGGTATTTTTTTCCTTCCTTCACCCCTGCGTATAATTCTTCGTATGTTATTTACCCAAGTTATTTACATGGAGACCCTAAATTATTGAAAATATTACTTTTATTTTTAAATTATAAATTTGTATAAATTAATTGTATAAATTATTGGCATGTTTCACTTTAATTTTTTTTATTAAGGGTTTGATTTGTACGTTTTTATAGTTTAAAAAATTTATTTGTATATTTTTATAGTTTAAAGGATAAATGATATTTCTCAATAATTTAAGAAATTTTCATATAAATATATGGAAACTTCTATAATACACACACTATTTTAGAATGTGTTCTACTTATAAAAATTGTAGTAATTGGTTATGACTTATTGACATAGTCATGACTTATTATGATGTTAAGGCCTCGTTTGGGAACTGCCTGTTGTAACTTAAAAGTCAAAAAGTTATTAAAAAAAATCAAAAAGTCTATAATCTATACCAAAAAGTCAAAAATTCTATTTTCTCTCTACTTTTTGCATGTCTTTTCGTAAAAAATTAAAAAGTCATTCCAAATACACTAGTTTTTTATCTCATATTTTAGCCAAAAAGCTAAAAAATTACTAAAATAGCATGTTCCCAAACGAGGCCTAATTATGATTTATTATGATCTAAAAGGTTTTTACTATATCATATGTTATGTTTAGTTATGACTCATTAAAAGTGATTTACATTGTTTGGATCATGAGATGAGAAAAGGGAGAAAAAAAAAATGACAGGAGTTTTTGTCTTAGGTTGTGGAAAATCAATTTATATGAAAAATATATTTTTGTATAAAAAGTTTTGGTCAAAATCCTTTCCTAATCCTCTCATAATAAAATTTTAATACATTAAAAATAAACACAAAAAGTTTTGTTTAAAAAGTCTAATATATATCACTATTACAAAAATATCAAACTTTAAAGTAATATAACTTTTGATGTAGATGTCGATTTTTAATAAAATTAGTATTTTAAAAATCTTTTCATCAAGATCTATCAAATAAGATCAATGTTGATTATGAAATTCTTTAAAAAAATTATTACCGTTGAAATTGATGTAAACAGTAACATGTTACTCTGATTTACAGTGATATGTTACTCTGGTTTACAGTAATATGTTACTCTAGCAATATTGTCCAAGAAAAAAAAAAGATATTTTATTTTGTCCTTACTCAATTATATGCCTTCTCTTTAGGGGGTTTATGAAGCAAAATAAATTTGGCTGTCATTTTCACTAAATAAGGGTCCAATAAAGGAGTTTTGGCTAAATTTCTCCAATATATATATATATATATATATCAATTGTTATTACTTACCTTCTTGTTTGGATTGACAGGTACTTTTTTTTTTCTTTTGGTATTTAGAAAGGTAGTTTAGATATTTAATTTTTTTTTTTTTTTTTTTTTGGTAAAGAGTAATTTTTTTGTTTCCCACCAAATCTCATAACTTTTAATGGAAAATAAAACTTAATTTTGAAGTGATTTGTCTTTTTTACTATTTTTCTTCATTTTTCACTATTACTCACCTCATTAATCATTAAAACAAATTGTGTGGGTAATTTTCTGACCACACTGCCCGCCTAGTAATCAGTTGGAGAGTTCCGGCAGAATAGATGGCTTCAGCAAACCTATAACAGAAAGAAAAGGCTCCGGCGGTGGCTCTTCCACCCGGAAGCACTCCGACGATCAAGTCAATATATCTCTCAAAGATAATCAAGTGCTAAACTCACTACTCAAAGTATAAAACTGCGTACCTTAGACCCATGGGGGTGCCTCTCTTTTATAGTTTACTTAATCCAAGTCCCACTAGAAGCCTGACTTCTATGGACTCCAATTCAGTGCTTACTTTGGATTCCTCAAGAGATAAGGATAAACTCCCTAAGAGCTTTATCCTTATCTTAGCAAAGCCTTCTCCTTACTCTAGGACTCTTGCCCCTTATCCATTATCCGCTTATCTTGGATTCCGATATCTTCGGAGATAACCTCGGTCTCGCCGAGATAACCTCGGCGTCACAACCGGGACACGTGGCACTTCGGCTGACACGTCGGCGTCACCTTGCCACGTGTTGGTATTCAGAAAATACATCCCCACAACTGCCCCCTAGGTTCTACTACCTCGGCATTCTAAGGTGATGGAACCTATATCTGTATTTTCTTCCAGTAAATCGTCGTAAGATTTGACAGCCAAGATTATTCATTTCTGGCCGACATGCTTTCCCTAAAAAATCAAAAAATTTTAAGGAACTTCTCACGCGCATGAACTGTCATGCACTTTAACTCAACCGTTTTAATCACGCGTTTCTTTCTTACTGGCTCGTGCCTGTGACGCGCCCCTAAGTCATCTCTTTTATTGTCTTTTGTACTTTTTTGTTTTCTGGACAGTAGAAGCTTCTCTGTACGGCCGATGTGCCTTATGTTTGTGTTGGATATTTTAACATAACTATCTTTCTTTGAATGACTGCATTCTTTTTTGCCTTTTCTTTGACTGCATCTGTTTGATTCTATACTTAGAATTTTTTGTATGCCTTTCATACTTTGCCTCCTTTGTGCAATCTTCTCGGGGTTACATACCTCGGGTATAATAGCTACAAAACTTTTACTTCAGCAAGATACTGACCTGCAAATTTTTCATAAATTCTAACAAGTGTGAAACATATACTACTCAATGTTAACTTGGCAAACTTTTTCTCAAGTTTCAACAAGTGTTTAAACGGTGATCTCGGTCTAGCCTACTTGTAAATTGCCACAAATTTCAACAAGGATTAACATAACAAGTGTTAAACAATAATCTATTTGTAAATTGCTACGAATTTCAACAAGTGTTTAAACAACATACTTAGCTTTTTCTTCAACCAGTAAATTGCTGCAAATTTCAACAGATGATCATATGTCGGCTTAACGTTTATCTTGTAAATTGCTACAAGTTTCAACAAGTGTTAAGCATTTTCTTTGGTTTAACCAACCTGTAGATTGCTACAAGTGTTTAAGCAATAACCTTGGTTTTGCTTCAACTCGTGAATTTAAACAAGCAAAGAGAAACAGTAATCTTGGCTTAACTTCAATTTGTAAATTGCTACAAATTTCAACAAGTGAAGATAAGGAAAAATCTTAGCTATATTCAACTTGTAAATTGCTACAAATTTCAACAAGTGAAGATAAGGAAAAATCTCAGCTTAACTTCAATTTGTAAATTGCTACAAATTTCAACAAGTGAAGATAAGGAACCATCTCGGCTTAACTTCAACTTGTAAATTGCTACAAATTTCAACAA